ATATTTATGTATATATATATATATATTTATATGTATATGTATATCTATATAAGTATATATATATATATATATATATATATATTTTTATATATATATATATATATATATATATATATATATATATATATATATATATATATATATATATATAAATATTTATATATATATATTTATATATATATATATGTATATTTATATATATATATATATATATATATATATATATATATATATATATATATATATATATATATATATATATATATATATATATATATATATATATATAATGATAGAGAAAAATCTGTATAAGTGTATTTAGTAGTTTATTATTGCTCTGTTCTTTAAGAACATTGAGCATCCTATATGTAGAATACACTGTATTCTACATATATATAAATATATATATATATATATATATAAAACCATTTTCAAAAAAAATAATCAAATTTTAAATTAAAAAGAGAAATAAAGTTGCAAATTTATATTTTTACAAATAGTTCTTATAGTTTGCACACTTGAAATCCAATTTTTCATTGGCTAGATTTAAATTATTTAAAATATAAAATTCATAACTTCAAAAATTAGAATTCAATCGATATATATATATATATATATATATATATATATATATATATATATATATATATATATATACATATATATATATATATATATGATGGATTATATAGATTATTTAACATAATATTATAGATTGAATGTACCAATAATAGGGTGGCTACTTTAAATAGTAAAATATAAGTTCCTAAATATCAGTAATTTAGCTTTAAATTAGGTTAACAGTGTAGAATCACAATTCATTAAGGATAAGCTAAACTTCAAATGTCAAATGAAAGGAAACCAAATTCTCATAAAAAAACCTAAACTTTTTTAAAGCTATGTTTTATAGAAAAATTATAAAGTTCTCTTTACAGCGAAGAGTGAATTTTTATTTATTGTTGAGTTATCGTAATTGTTACAGCATATATTGATATTATTTCAAAGTTCAGCACTTTAGCTATTGTCACTAATTTAGCTGTTTGAAACATATTGAAATTTGATATTTCTCTCTAAAGTCAGCAAAGATTCATTCAAATGATGTGATTAGTAGTAATGGTTTAAGAATAGAAGAAGATTTTATTGAAATTGTTCTGGGAAAACTATGTTGTGTTCACTTTGATACAAAGTTAGTGAAAGGGTATTTTTCTGGTAAAAATAGAAATGTTAAGCACTTAGCACTTGTGATTGTAAGTCCTAACACTGATAAGGAACAATTTATTAGAAATTCTTTTTATAATAAATAGTTGTGGAATAACAAAAGTTGAAGCTATTAAGGAAATACTGGGATCTTGGAATCTCTGGGATCTAATACAAAGTGTTTAAGAAAATATTTGGATCCTGAAGTCTCTGGGATTTAATACATGTTTTCACACTTCAAATAAAGGTGAGAAAAATTTGTGCACTTAATAGCAATATGAAAAATAGTATGATGAAGAAAAATTTTTGTATATTGATATTTTTATATTTTTATGATTTTCATTATACTATTTTTATTCTCATCAAATAAAGGTTAGATGCAGGGTGCATGTATATTGCTAGAAAAATGGGATGGGTAGACCGTTGCTATAATTTCCCTGCAGACATCATGTATATGAGCTCCATAGTAAGGTTAGAACTATAATTTATATTGTTTATTTAAAAAACACTTTAATTCTAGTTCGGTTCAATTAATTATCTGTTTTATTCTATTCTGTTTAATTAATCATCTTTTTAATTATCTAATTTGTCATTATCTAGCATGCAGCACTTGCAGTTTCTGGGATAGTGTCAAATGGACCAAATTGATAATCTTTTCAAAAATGTTCAAAAAATAATAAAGCTGGACATAAATTCGAATAACCTTAACAGGTTTAAGTGGAGCAAGCAAAATGGAATATTTTTATAAGAAAATGTAGAGATTTGTTTATTTCTTTTTTCTAAAGAAAAAAAAAAAAAAAGCAATTTAAATTGCATTTTTTTAAAAGCTTTTGAAAGTAAAATTTATCTTGAATGTTCTTTGTTCACAGAAAATTTTCCAATTTTCATTTGAAACAATTTGATATAACAGTGAAAAAGTTATAGCAACATTTTATCAAGTTGTTGAGTTTACTAGGCTATTTCATGCAAGATGGTTTCTGAACGCACCATTGGAAGCTTTTTCACCTTGCTTAGATTTATGTGCAATCAGAGACATGATCAAGTATGGGTCATTTATCAAAACAGTTTCAACTACAAGAATTAAAAGTTTTGAAAATTATTTATAATTTCTTATTGAAGAAAATGTTTTACTTGCTAAATGTGATGAAATGCTAGACAATAACACAAGAAAAAATTTACTAAAAAACTGTCTTTATACCCTAAGCTTCAAGATTACCACCTTTTTTAGCATTACTATAACAAAAATTCCAGAGTTAAAGCAACTGGTTGGACCTCAAAATTGTATTCTAATTCAACAGCTAAATCTATCTGCATTAGAAACAGAATGGATGCAAGTTACCTCAAAGTAAAGTAAATCTATTATATTTTTTGAGCATTTAAAATATTTAAAAATGCCAGTATATTTACTTTAGAGATAAGAATAATTTTTCAGGATATCGAGTCCAAAAAATATTTATAAAAAAGTTTACTGTTGTAAATGATTGCACTGAGAAAGGAGTAAAGCTTATTAAAGACTTTACACACATGGAACTTGATGAAGAATTGAAGCAATGTTTGATGCTTTCAATTTCAAGTCACAGACAAAAATATTTAGTTCTTTGACATGTAATTTTAAGTTAAATTAATTGATAAAAAAATTATTCTCAAAACGTTATTTTAAAATAAATATTAATTAAATTACAATTTTTATTTATTATTGCGGTAAAAAAAAGCTTTCTAAATCCACATTTGTGCATAGCTGTGCATAACATAATAGAAAAAGTACCCATAGTTTTAAATA